CTCCTCCTGTGCCATGTCCCCCCCGACGGCTCCCCTGTGACATCCCCCCCCCACCCAACGGCTCCCCCTGTGACACCCCCCACACTCGCTGCCATCCCTGGGGATCCTGCCCATTGTTGGGGGGGGAAGAGGGGGGTTATTCCCTCCGGAGTGACCCCTCGGCTTTCTCCAGGGGAGACCAGATGGTCGAGACGAGGAGAAAGGTCCCCCCTGGTTTAGAGCCAGGTTTCCGTGTCCCGAGGGGGGTCCTCACCCCACACGTCCCCAAGCAACACCCGTCCCATGTCAGTCGCCCCCCAACCCCTCGCCCGGGCTGTAGCCCCACCACCGGGGGAGGAACCCCCCACCCGGGCCCTGGCAGGGCCAAGTGACACCTCTAATTACCATACCCTCGGAATAGATGTGATATAAATTTCATTACTCACTTAAAAGTTCTAAAGTTAACAGCATAAACTTGAAGTTGAGTAATTAAGTAATCCTTATATAGACACTTATTAAAGTATTTATACATATTATCTTAAATCTACATCTATCATTTTGCCAATTAAAATTAGGACTTTAATTGCAATTAAGTAATTTAATTGCCAATTGAACAGCAAAATTGCTAAGTGACTAATTTTAATGCCTATTTTAATTACCAATCATGACTGGGGAGGGAGCTAATCAAGCAGTATCAGAGTAATGATGTGAAAAAAAAAAAAAAGGGAGAACAAACATTCCAGACTACATGCTTTTTTTTAAAAAAAAAAAAAAAAATCCCAACAACCCAAACCACAACTCCAAATTAAATAAATGCAAACACAATTTTATCCGTGTGGCAAAACGCGGGGTTTTGGTACCCAAAGGCAGGAGCACAACGAGCACCTTTAATTAGGGGGAACCCCCAAAGGGCGGGGGGTGACGTGTTCTCTCCCTCCCACCGGCGCCCGAGGGACCCAAAAGGGAATCGCGAGCGGTTTTGACCCTGAACGGCCCAAACAGCACAATCGTCCCCAAACACACTCCAAAAAGTAAAAATCCATCTTCCTGATGGGCTGCACCCGCCGCTAACGAGGTTTCCCAGCTCATTAGAGCAGCTCCATCAGGAGGATGCCCTGTGGCCGCCCCCCCGGGCCGGGTTTGGAGGCCGTCTGTGCACAGCAGAGCTCCAGGTACCATCGTTTTCAGTAAAAAGCAGGAAAATCGGTGTGGTTGCCTTCTGCGAGCGCAGCCAGTGCCCACGGAGAGCGGGTGTGGAAGGTGGAGAGGTGGAGGGACCGCTCCGTGGTGGCCCTAGCTCCATGTCTCGGGGGGACAAAGACCACGGCTGCATCATCCCCGTGGTGGAGTTTTCCTCGCTCCAGCCATCCCACCCACAGAATCACATGGGGCTGGCAGGGACCTCTGGAGATCATCTCCTCCAACCAGAGCGGGGCCACCCAGAGCAGGTCCCACAGGAACGTCTCCAGGTGGGTTTGAATGTCTCCAGAGAAGGAGACTCCACCACCTCCCTGGGCAGCCTCTGCCAGGGCTCTGCCACTCTCACAGCAAAGAAGTTCCTCCTCACATTTAGGTAGACCTTCTTATGTCCAAGTTTGTGCCCATTTCCTCTTGTCCTGTCCCTGGGCACCACTGAAAAAAGCCTGGCCCCATCCTCCTGACACCCACCCTTTGAGTATTTATAGGCATTGATCTGATCCCCCCTCAGCCTTCTCTTCTCCAGACTAAAAAGCCCCAAGTCCCTCAGCCTGTCCTCACAAGGAGAGCCTCTCCTCACTCCAGGCCCCTCATCATCTCTGTAGCCCTCTGCTGTCCCCTCTCCAGCAGTTCCCTGTCCTTCTGGAACTGGGGAGCCCAGAACTGGACACTGCCCCGAGGGCAGTGGCCACCACGGCCGGACACAGTGAGCCCTGTGGCCAGTGCCCGCGGTGACCACCACACCTCACAGACTCCACCAAACACCCACCTGGCGTAAGCCCAGCCGGTGGTGAGGGTCACACAGCCGCTTGCTCCCCCCACGGTGGGGTAGGGAAAAGAGGGAGAAAAAAGAGAAAAAAACTCATGGGTTGAGATAAGACAGTTGAATGGAAGAGTAACAGAAGAGGAAAATAGCAATAACAAACCAAATAATACTACTAGTTATTATAATAATAATAGGAGGAGGAGTAAAAGAATGTACAAAATCAAGTGATACAAGTGATCAAGTCTCACCACCCACAGATCACTTGCCCATCCCATCCCAACAGCAACCACAGGTTCCTGTTCCCCACTGACCAGCCCCCATTTATACACCCAGCATGACGTCCCTGGTACGGAATACTCTGTTGGAAGTTTATCCTGTCTGTGCTCCTGCTCTGCTTCCAGCTGGAAGCTGAAAAAGATCCTTGAAAAACATAAACATGACTTAGGAACAACTAAACCAATATGGAAAGTAGAGCCCTAATGAGAAGCTAAGCCCCAATGGAAGGCAGAGCCCCAGTGAGAAGGTAGAGCCCCAATGAGAAGCTAGAGCCCCAATGGAAGGCCCCAATGGAAGGCAGAGCACCCATGAGAAGGTAGAGCCCCAATGGAAGGTAGAGCCCCCATGGAAGGTAGAGTCCCAATGAGATGGTAGAGTCTCGAGGAGAAGCAAGAGCCCCAATGGAAGGCAGAGCCCTAATGAGAAGCTAGAGCCCCAATGGGTGGCCCCAATGGAAGGCAGAGCACCAATGAGAAGGCAGAGCCCCAATAGAAGGTAGAGCTCCAATGAGAAGGTGGTGCCCCAGTGGAAGGCAGGGCTCCAGTGAGAAGGCAGAGCCTTGATTGGAAGGCAGAGCCCTGATGAGAAGGCAGAGCCTTGATGAGAAGGTAGAGCCATCAGAGTG